TTTCTGTTAAAGTGTTAATTCTGTATGTTTGGGTATGTATTAGTTATGCACTTCAGTCCCTTAGACACTGTTAATTGACAAAAGCACACTGACCTTGGATTTGTCAGCATTAAATACATTTAAAAAATACTTAAAAACTACAAATACTGTTTCATACTCATACTTGACATACAAAAATGAGGTAAAGAAGAGTCCATTGTTTTTATTGGTCATTTAACCCAAATGAAGGAAAGGTCATTCATTACACCCAGACTGAGGAGAGAAACTATGAAGAAGAAATGAATGCTCAGTAGAAACTGCCATTTGGTATAATAAAAGGCAAGGAAAGCATAATATACATTTGAAAGGGGGGTTGCTTGAGGAAATGTGTTACAACTGCCAGTTAAATAAAAAAGACCTCACTGCAATGACCTCTTTTCATTGAAGCCAGTGTTAGTATCACTGAGGATGTAACCATCACTGACAAAATCAATTTGAGATCAAACAGCAAGATTGAAGCCACAAGTCCGTTTGGTCTCAATTTTGCACTAGAGCACACGGGTATGGCAGGAATCAATACTGAAGAAATCTCTGCAGATAACAACTTTGAGGGAATGTTCAAGGCTGGACCTATGTACGGCAAGACCACTTCGACCCAGTCAGTTACCATCTTCCCATTCAGGCCAGTGGCAAAGATTGATTCTATTGTTCAGTTTGACTCCACAATTGTTAGGGGCCAAAACACATTTACAGCATCCCTTGCCAATGGTGAATTCTCAGTTGTATCCAACACCAATGCCTTTGAAGATGTCTTGACACATGTTGTTGAGCTTTACTTCAAAGACAGCAAGTTGTTACTGAAAAGTGATTCAAATGCCCTTGCTGTTGGCATGAAGATCCGCAACCAGGTTGAAGCCTCTGCTGGTGCCGGTGAAGTCGTCATGAGGATGGAGACAAATGCAGACCACTCTGAAAACCGGGTTTACTCTCTGCTGACTGCCTCTCTTGATGCCAATGGTTTGGCTGTAAACAGTGATGCCTCAATGAAGCTTCTTGAGAATGAGGCTAATCACAAGACAACTCTGAGGATGAACAAGGACGGGTTGACCACAAGTGGAACAACCACCCTGCAGAGCCCCCTGTCCCTAGAAAACACTTTCAATGCTGGGCTTGACACTTCAAGAGCTACTTTATCTATTACCAACAAGGCTGTAATGCGTGACATCAAGGTTGACAATGCCAACAATCTCATCATTACTCTTTCTAGCCTTGACTTTAACTCAAAGGCTGAAGCCATAGCAAGTGAGTATGCCACTTATGCTCATGATATCACCATCGACCTGAAACCCTACACTGCTTCTGCAAATGTTAACAACAACCTGAAAGTTCTGGCTGCCAACTTCATTAATGAGGCTCAGCTGCAGGCAGAGTTTTACAAGATGGACCTGACTGGAAACCTGAAAGCTATTTATGGCGAGGAAGAGATCAAACACACCTATCAGGTAAATTATGCCGATATGACTGCTATTGCAAAGTGCAGCACCACTGGAAAACTCTTGGGAACTCACATGAACCACAACACCGAGCTTGAAGTTGTCGGTCTTGCTGCCAGGATCACCAACGATGCCCGTTTCAACTCACAGGCAATGCGCTTTGATCACACCATCCGTTGCAGCATTGTTCCTTTTGATTTCAACCTTGATGCCATCTTTAATGCTGATGGAGACATCACCATGTATGGAAAGCACAGTGCCCAGCTCTATGGCAAGTTCCTCCTTAAAGCACAGCCCCTAGCGTTTGCTAGCACACATGAATACAGAGCATCAATAACCCAACAGCTTCATAATGGTTTTTCTCTTCAGACTATTATTGACAACAACATGGAGACTGTAATGTCACTCCAAGAGCAGAAGACTACTTTTAGAATGAAGTCTAAGTTGAATGACCAAATCTTCAATCAGGTCCTGAGTGTTTACAATACTGCTGAGAGAACTGGAATTGAGCTTTCTGGCACCATTCTCACAAGCGTCCTCAACACAGACTCCACAGACAACCAGGAATTCACCATCTCTAGCTTCCTCAAGTATGACAAGAGTACAAACAGTCACATCATTCAGATTCCTATAATTGAAAATCTTTCTGCTTTCTTGGAAAGCATCAAGGGCTTTGTTGTGCATATCTCAGAGACACTGCAAGACTACATCAACAACGAGGAGATAATGGCTAAATTTGAGGCTCTCCCCAAGCATATAAATTACTTTGTTTCTCAACTTAATATAGAGGGCAAGGTAAATCAACTGAACCAGTATCTCAATGATTTTACCCAAGAATATACTATCTCCAAGGAGGATGTGGAGGCCTCTTTGAGAAACCTGAAGGTTGCTGTTGAAAAACTGCTGGCTGATCTCACTGTTTACATCCAACACTTTGCTGGTATGATGAAGGAGATCATTGTTAGCGGCACCGTCCCTGAAACCCTCATTCAGAATATCCAGCAACTTCTGAATGCCTTTAATGAGGAGTATGACATTAGGGCTATGGTCGTGTATGTGATTGATACCATAAGAGAGATGGTCCAGCAGATTGACTTGGAAAAACTGAAGGACAGCAGCATTGCATTCCTGCATGACATTGATGCCACGTACGAAATCAAGGCTAAACTTCAAACAATCATGAGTGATATGAAAGGAGTAATTGAGACCTTTGACATGCAGAAATTTACTCGTGACCTGAAGAGGTATATTTCATCGATCAACTTCATAGCTCACATTGAGGAACTAGTTAGTCAGATTCCCACAGACATTCTCACTGATATAACACATTACATTAAGGAAATGATTCAGGACCTTGACATCCTAGGTCAGATCGACACATTCTATGCCAAGATGAGAGAGATGATTGTAAAGTTTGAGGCTGACAAAAAGGTTCAAGCTGTCCTCGAAAAGGCTGTGGAGCTCATCAAGCAGTTCAGAATTGAGGAAACCATCAATGCTGTAGTCAAGGTGGTGAGAGACGCAGACATACCTACCAAATTCATACAAGTCTTCCAGGGTGCTATCAACTACTTGAAATCAACTGAGGCCAAGGATATAATTCAACATCTGAATATGCACATTGAAACAATTGTACAAAGGCTTAACTCACTGAATTACAATGACTTTGTGGATTATGCCAATCATATCATTCTTGAGTATACATCTTACCTCAATGAACTGATCAGGATTCTTGAAATCCCCCAGAAATTTGGAGCAATGAGAGATTTTGCCAACTTTGTCATATCCTCTATTAGAGGCTCTATGGAACACCTGAGAGAAATTATGAAAACTGCTCAGGAAGTAATTGACCAGATTGTGTTTAATAATCTGAAGGGATTTGCTGACATTGTAAAGCAGGAAATGTCAAACCTGGATGTTAATGCTGAAATTACATCTTATCTGCAGTTGGCAAGTAGGTGCTATACTGAATTTCTAACTTTTGCTACTGACATGTTCACCAATATGGTTGAGATGATCATGACGGTGGCACCTAAACAAAAAATATTTAGAGAGCTATTGCAGATCATTGAGGGTCTTATTACACAACTAAAGAAAGCCAATTTGAATATACCACCTTTCACAATTCCTTTCACTGATCTTGTCGTGCCCTCCATGACATTAAGCATGGATAATCTTCACCAGCTTGAAATTCCAACACAGCTGGACATCCCTGAGTTTACTATCTTGGGGTTCCATACAGTGGAAGCCACTACCATCTCAACTAATAACATTAAGCAGAGAATCATTGACTTGGTTGATTTCATTCTCAACTTTGAGATGAAGAAGTTTGATATGCGTGCTTTGTTTGGAGACCTGACTATGGACTACCTTCCTGCTGTCCCTGAATTTTCACTTCCTGACATTTCTGTACCCGAGTTCTCCCTTCCCACTCTGCCTCATTTTCCATCAGAGAAACTTGTTACGACTCTCCAACTCCCAGCATTTAAGCTGCCAGTCATTCCTAGTGAGATCAGGATTCCAGGCTTTGGCAAACTGAGTTGCGAGATGAAAGTCAACACCCCCATCTACTCTATTAGGAATGCCGCTGAAGTCCAAACCTCTCTGGACGTAGATGAGACTCCCCAAATGACAGCTTTTCTCACTTCCCAAGGGACATCACTTAGCTTTGAAATCCTTAACTTCAATCTGGATTCCACTGCTCGCGTTGCTCTTCCCAAGGGTCATCATCTGATTGCATCTGAGACCCTTAAGATCACTCACAATTTTCTCACAGTGGACCACCATGCATCTGTGACATTTACTGAATTCTCAGCCCAGGCCTCAGCCAAGACCACAGTAAAGGCCACCACAGCACCTTATAATGCTGAACTTTTACATGAAGCTTTCTTAGCAACCAATGGTGGTTTATCTACGACTATTGACACTTCCTATAAACATGTGCTCACCCTCCCAATCATGGACCTCACCAGTGAGGCATCTGTGACACAAAAATGTGTGGCTCGTCAGACAGGTACATCTATTACCATAACTGTTGGAAACCAGGGTACAACCATGTTCAACTCTCAAGAAAGTACACACAAGAGTGACCTGCAAGTCACAGTCAATCCGAATATATTCAAGTTGACCTTCAGTAGTGACACAGATACATTCCTTTTGAAGACGAGACAAACCTTGAGTGCTGACTTTGTCACCTTCAACTATTTCAAGTTTGATGTTCGTTCTGAAACAGAATGCTCCACAATCAAAAGCAGCCTTTTAGTGGGATCAGTAAATGTCAATCTGCATGACATGAAGCTTGAGCTGAAGGCAACCCAGAACACAGATCTACTTGGTATAATCAATGGACCCTTATACAATATGATCAATGTTGTTGTCCGTCCCAGAGAGGCTGCGTTCATCTTTCAGAATAAAGGAAACACCAAAGTCAATTTCAATGATGCTCTTACAGCCAAAATTGATCTGCAGAATGATTACTCTGCAACCTTCACGCCTGACAAACAATACATCAACACAGTCGCTCTAGCCCGTCTTAATCAGTACAAACTGTTCTGGAACTTCACTGTAGAGAACAATGAGAAGGAGGCTGCCATTCTTACTGCTTTAGAAGGAGAAGCAGACCTGGATTTCCTGACTAAGCCCATCAGCATTCCTGAGATTGATATTCCATTTATTGACTTCCGTACCCCAGCCATTAGTGATCTTGACTTGTATGACCAAACTGGGCTGAAACACATTTTGACTACAACTGAACAGACTGTTGATGTGGATGCCAAGATTGTTTACCAAAAAAGCCAAGCAGCCCCATCTGTCGATATGATGGGTCTGTTCCAGATTCCCTCTGTGGGTAACCTGATCACAGAACTGTCCTTCAAGTCTGCCATTTTCAATCTGAATGTCAATGCTGGACTGAATGCTGAAGATGATCTTGTGTTCCGTCTGGGAGCTACCACAGCCTCTGTGTTTGAGAGTCTACAAGCCAAACTTGATGGCACCACCAGCCTGACCACCAAGAGAGGAATCAAGTTGGCCAATTCCCTGTCCCTTGAAAATCGTCACATTGAAGGCACTCATGACAGCACCATCAGTATGAGTACTAAAACATTTGAACCTATAGTCTCTGTGGCTACTAATGCAAAGATTGCCCTGCCTATACTCAGACTGGAAGCAAATCAAAATTTTGTTGCAGACACTAAAACCAAAGCAAATGCTGTCTCCACCTTGAGGATGAGGGCTGATTTCAACATCCCTATGATCAAGGCTGTTGGAAAGGCTGAGGCTGACCACAGTCTGAAGCTGGAGGGAAACTTTGAGTACCTTTCCATGGAGTCATCCACCAGAGTAAACATGGATGGTACTGTGCTTGAGGACTATCTAGTTTTGGGAGTCCTTGATAATGAGATTAATCAGTACCTGAATAATGATGGACTACGCTTTACCTCCAAGATTATTGCCGATGCCAAACTTAACTATGGCACCAACAAACTCATTGGCTTGGACGTAAATGAGAATATTGCTGTTGAAGCCTCCTTGAGACGTGTGTATGCAGTGCTGAAATATACTGGCAACAATGAGGCAAACATGTTCAATTTCAACACCAACGGAAGGCATATCACCAAGGTAACCATTGACTTGGCAACAATGTCTTCTTTGACTGCGGATATTGAGGTTGATATCTCTCAGCCAAGCAGCCTGGGTGAACTCACCATCTTTGAGAAAACTGTTGCTGAAGTGACAGCTGCCAAGCAGAAGATCTCTACCAATGCTAAGTTTGTGAGCCCACTGTACACCACAAACCTGGCAGCAGAAATAGAGGGCAACACTCCTGTCTTCATAGTCACCTTTAAGTCCTCTGCCACCTCTGTCATTGTCTCCTTGGAATATGACCTGGACTGTAAGTTATTCTTTTCACAGAATCTAGTTTTGTATCTTAAATAAAGAGCATTATTATAAAGTTTAACTAAAATCAATATGCTTCAACAGCTTCCATTACCATAAACTTTGAACATGGTGGCCTAAGCCTTACTGGAAAGGGTGTTTTCACCCATTGCGATCTGACCATGGACATTCAGCACATTCTTTCCCATACACTGAGGTAACATTTTACTCATATTCCAAGAAAAGACAATATATGATGAAAGATATTCATAATTGTATTTGTGTAAAGTTGTCTGCTTTACTACAGAGAATTGACACATTCCTGCCCGTTTCTACAGTGACTCTCGTCTCACACTAAATATGGACATAACCAGCCCTGCCTTCACTGATGTGAACTTGCGTTATGCTGTCCGCAAAGATGGAATCAGTGCTACAATTTCTATTCCATCTACTGGCCTCCTGGGTCTTCAGCTTCATGGCAGGGCTCCATCACAGATGAATGCCAGGCTTTATGGTCGCTATGCTGTAAGGATCTGATATTACTGTTATGTTTGTACATTTACAATGATCAAGAATTTTACATCTAATTTTCTATTCTTTTTTTCAAACAGTCTGATCCTGGGAAGGATGTGGATATTTTCACTATCAGAGCTTCTGCCAAGGATGCAAATAAAATGAATCTTAAGATGACTATTAACATGGATGCCCCAGACATCATGATCCGAGGATTGCAGGAAAAAATTCCTGCCATCACATCTTGTTTGTCTAGCTTTGCTGAGAAATACCAACTGTTCAGGCATGCTGCTCAGTTGAAGAACATTATCATTTTCTATACTGAGGAGGCCCACAACATTGCAAACAACCACGCCCCACATGTGAGCCAGGTGTCTATCCTCTTTAGGAACACTGTTGTTCAGTACCAGAAGACTGTACAGGTTTTCTTAAATGCAGCCATCAAGTTTCTGAGAGAGACCCAGGTCAAACTGCCTGGCTCTGACGAGATGACCACTCTCATTGAGGTGCTCAATAATACCATGACCAGCATTACTACTATGCTCGAGAAGGCATTGCAGCTAGTGGCTGTTAATGTAGAATATGCTCTAAATGTCATGCTTGGCATGGTCAGTAAAATTCAGGTCACAATGCCCGTTGGGGATGTCATGGCTATAGCCAAATTAACTGACCAGATTAGGGACAAAGTGAAGACTATGTCTAACCCCATTGTGGATTATTTGAAGCATCTGGAGAGTTTAGACATTTTCCTGGATGAACTGGGTGACACCCTAAAATTCTTTGTTGACAAAGCTCAGGACTTTGTTGACAACACCCTAAAGTCAGATGTACTTGATGCCATTGCTGTCTACATTAATGCTTTCTATGATAAACATGTAAGCCTAATGAAAACAATGTCCAAGTATGCAAACACAGCTGTGAACACTGAGTCTATAAATAGCCTGATTAACTACATTCTGGATATTTTCAGATCTGAAGTGAATGCATTTAAATACACTGTTACTGACTACCTGCAGCAGGCTCCTGCAGACTACAGGTCTTATGTAAAAGTAAAGGGTACAAAACTGGAGATTAATCTTTGATTCCACCTTCACCAGTAAGATAAAAGCCTGAAATGCTACTAATTGAATGGCTAAACTATTATCTAAACAAAAGGTACAAATATTAAAAACATGCTCAACTTTATCTAAAAAGTAAATGCACTCTCAGTGAACATTAAATACCTTGTTCAGTTGAAAAATAGATGAATTGTGAATGACTATAATAATGTATTACAGCAGCAAAAATAACAACCTGTATAACCTATGTGCTGCAAGTCTAATTTTTCTGTTTGTGTTTGATGATGGTGTAAAATAAAGTCTATTGTTTACTGGATAGCATTTTGCAACAGTCCTTTATTTTCCCCAAATACACTCCTTATATGTCTCTGCATGTACATTGGCAACCAATTATAGATGTCTTATGTTAATAAACCACAATACGAGTGCATTAACAGTTACTGAGAGTTAAACTTTTTTAACAGGTTGAATGAAAGGCCTATGTTTAATTCTATGTAAGTAAAAAAAAAATGAAGTGAAAATGAAACTATGTTATAATCTTGGCAAGATATTTGTATGTTATTGGTTGACATAATATATCTATCGATGCATTTGTCTCAAAAACATGGTTTGCTGTTTAAAAATAAAGTTAAAATCTATCTGAGCATTGTTGCATCTGTGGCAGAATCTCCCTGTGACATACAGATGAGTGAAAAATTAAAGGAAAAATAAGTGGAGAAACAGGATGACAATGCCCTCATCCATGGGGCAAGAGGGGTCACTGAATGGTTTGATGAGTATGAATACAATGTGAATTTATATGTTAATGCCTTAACAGTCACCAGATCGCAACCGAACACCTTTGAACCTGTGTGTTAGACAGTGCTCTCCAAGACCATCATCAAAACACCAAATGACGGAGTATCTTTTGGAAGAATTGTGTTCATCGCTCAAGTCAAGTTCCAAAGACTTATAGAATCAGAGTGAAGGAAGCTGTTCTGGCGGTTTGTGGCAGCCCAAAACCTTGGTTTGGTTGTTTTTTCCTTTGTCACCCATCTGTAGATGTTTTTTATGAGCAAACAAAAGCCCAGCATATGTAATGTCATCTAGCAACCAAAGGGTGTCACTGGAACATCTTCCTTGTAAACCATATTGCTGCTGTTACATGACTATTACTTTTTAAGAGTGGACATGTTGGTGAATCAGTCAGTGCCAAAAATGGACAGGGAACTTTTGTGATTCTGGTGGGGGCTGGGGTCAATAACTATGCCTAAATTGGCTGCTTGTGTGATGGTCATTTAGTTTTATAAAAACATCACCTAATGTCCATCACTTATTTTATGGTAACATGTCATTCTGTAAAATCCTGAACTGGGCTTCCAAAGGAGCTAGGACTATGGCAAAAATAGATTATGCGCTGATTATTTGCAGATTTCATTCTGCATGCTGTATAACTTGACATTCCCAAAGACTATCAGCTATTTCAAGTTAACCTCAGATGAAAAGATGTATTCCAGATGAATTTGGCTAAAGCTGCCACCAAGTTTTTGATTCATTCAATATAGTCCAAGTAAAATGAAAACAAGACTAGGCAAGCCTAGTTCAGCTGACTGAACCTTTATCAGAAAATGTAACCTTTGATATATGATTGTCTTTTCTTAACAGTACTGGAACATGTTATCAAGTAGTTCCTGAAGATACTAGAAGATACCAGTGAGTGAGATGTAGGGCAATGTTTTCAGGGTGCTGCCCTCTGCACTTAAACAAGTACAGAGTAATAAAATATGCGTTGCAATAAAATTACACATACTTACTTTTTCAGCCCAGAAATATTTGTAAACAAGCAAAGTGATATTACTTAAGTTACACAGCAACTGCCAGCTCTTCTTATGAAAGGTCAGGCAATAAATTAAACACCTTGTAAAGAACAATCAGCCCCAACATGCATGATAAATGCTGGCAGCTCAACACTGAAGCTAGGTCAACTGATATTGGTTTATTACTAATTATGCGACATAGACGTCCTGCCGTTTGTCAACAGAAAAACACACACACTTGTGCCAGGTCTTGTGTACAAAATGCCTGTAGAGTATAAGGTATTACTTATAACCACCTGTCTCAACATATTATTTAACAGCTAAAATATCTTATCAACTGATGGGGAACAACAAATAAGGTTATTTGCCAACATATCTACCTGACTTTGTTTAACCCCACCTGCACACCCTGATTTGGTGTTGCAGGGGCCATCCAGAGCTCCAGCACATTCCTTGTAAGTTCAGATTTGTCCAAAGCAAGGAAACTGCAAAGTTCTCCTGAAGCTGGCTTCTCTGCTGCTCATTTGGGGACCTTTAAAATCTCAAACTGTTCTCACCTCTGACACCAAGAAACAGTATATGCACCCATCACTCACTAATGACATGGTAACTTTCTTCATGTTTTCAACAGCTTTACTAAACAACATGCATAAATGTTATTCTAGCTTTCCAACACAAAGGCAAGGGCCACTCCTCATACTTGGAAAGTATAGTCTAGAAGTGAGACTGGTCATATACACGTTTTTAATATTTGAGCAATACTTCACTCAGTCACACTCACAACGACTGGAAAAACACGCGAGAACTTCTAGCCCAAACACTGTTAAAATAGTGTGCCCAATAGTCTTACAATACCCAGTTTTGCAAATACACATGCAGCCATCTAGGACACTACATTACATGTTTATTCTGTTGTTGAACACTACCCTTACTACCACCATGGACTGTATATAAAGATGGATGTAATCTGTGTGACTGCACCCATACGTTTCTGAAGAGCGCTTTTTAAGTTCAAGCTGCAGTTGAAAAGTATTTTTTGCTTAGGAAGGTTTTAAACTGAGTGAAATAACCCATAAGTATCTAAGTGGCAGCCATGGTAAGAGCTGGTCTAAGTCTCTAAATGCTAAGGAAAGGTATTCCAATGCTTGCTATCTTATCTCCTTTAGCATGTTATTTTTTAGGATACACTGGACCTTCCTTTATGAAAGGAAAGGAGATAATGGCATCCCACAATTCCTTTACAGTGATGCACCATTGTAGTTTCACCACGGCAGACCCATGTAAGTGTAGAATGTAGAGCACCTGTTTTATGCTTGTGACATGATCCAAAACTTATAGACATCATTATATGAGTATCTGAGCTCCAAATGCATAAATGTAAATTTTCTCACTTTCAAATCTGTCCAGGTAGGAGTTATCAAGGAAATTAAGCATATTGAATATTTCTAGTTAACAACATCATTGTCATCATCATAACAATACTATATACATGTTGTTTTACTAAATTCCCCAATAAAAAATGAATCTTATTAAATGTATAAAAAAGGCCAAAACATCTATGGAAAGAAACTCTATATACCTATTATATAGAATAGAATTTAAGAACTAAATTACTGATTTTCATTAAATTATTATTTTAGTGGCTGGTTAGGAAAGGAGTATTTATCATCCATGTGTTATAAATAAAGTTGGTTTAAAAAAGTCTAGTGTAAGTGAGTCAATGCAGTCGGGTTCTCTCGCCTTTTCCTATATCCTTATGAATTCTCCTAACTTTAACATCTTGACCTCATGAAGTTTCCATCAAGTTCAAGGAAAAGCAGCAAGGAAAAGCGATTGTTTTTACTTTTCGACTGCAGCCTCAGAGTGAGCTGCACCGTCGTCACCATCTTGACAGTACCTGACTCCGCCTAACTCACGGCTAATCCTAAAACGTGTCAAGAAGTTGGGCGTGTGTGGAGCCGAGACTTCGGTGCAAGTCGGGTTAATACCTGTTGTAAGCATACGATCCGGTTAGCATCGTTACACAGCTGGACGTTTTACTCGAAGGCTAACCCAAGGCTAATTCATTTTGGTGGCTAATTGGCTAGGTACTGAGCTAAGCTAACAAGCCAGGTATGGTGAGCGCACACGCCCATACCGGCTAATTAGTGACTTAAAGCCTTAATTAGTGACTTCAACCCTTAATTAGAAACTTTAAGCCTTAATAAAATTTAAATGGATGAGCTATATAAAATTTCACCTGGGCATTTTAACATGGGAGTCTCTGAGGATTGATTCGTCCTTGGAGCCAGCCTCAAGCGGCCTTTGGAGGAATTTCAGTTTTTGGCCTTTCCGTATTGACTTCATTTGTCAGCCTTGACTGTGACCGAGCTCTTGAGATTACAGTTCTAATGTGTGATGGCCTCTCTTAATGAAAGACATTGTCATATGCCAGAGATGTCATAGCAGGAAAAGTGCAGGTCTAAATAACAACAATAACAATTAATAACATCATTAATGTTTTAATGACAGCTGTGCATTTCCTACCATGACAAGTCAAAAAAAAAAAATCTACTGAGCAAATCTTTATTGTTGAATCTGATTTCAGCCCAAGAGTTGTGATTCACGTCAATGCAGTAACGGATACAGTTGTTCTGTATGCAAAATTTTGGGCACCCTTGGGCAAATTACATATTTTGTTGATTGCTTAAGTGAAAAGAAATAAATCAGGTAAGATCAGGTAATTAGGTACAGGAGTTGTCTCAGCCTTTTATAGTGCTGGCTAAAAGAAAGCTGAGACACTTCTTGCTCTCTAAACTGATTAAAGTTGTTTTTCTCAGGTTATTTTATGTAGTTTTCTGTAAATTATTGTTTGGTAGCAGAAAATGCTGCCTGAATTGACACCAGATAGAAAAGTTTCTAATTCCTCTATATTAAGTTTCACATTGAACATGAGCACATCTCTCACAAACTACACTCATTAGCCATATTATTAGGTACACCTAACTAAAACGTATCCAGTCTAAAATACAACAACCCTGCATTTAATGCTACCAATAAGAAGGTAATAGAGCTTCAACAATTAATCGACTGAAATATAAGACATTATTAGAAGCAATTGTCACCAATTTTTGATCATTTTTAGGTGAGGATGGTAATTGATTAATCAAGAAAATGATCAGTAGATGAATTGATAATGAAATTAATTGTTAGTTTCAGCCCTATACTGTAATGTTCAACTGTTGTATG